CAACATGTGGGTGAATGGTGAGGAAGTGGAATTCAATGCTCCCCACTGCAGGAGCACCAGTTCTGGATCAGGCTACTGCACAGACCACCTCTAACCACTTAGGTGGGAATGGCTCCTACCTGGGTATAAATGCATGCTCATATTTTAGAAAGTGACTCTCCAAAATCCCTTTTTTCTTTGTATAATTTGGTTTATAGAATTACACACATCTACGGATTCCAAGCACGTCTCTGTTGGATGTACCCTAAAGGTAACACAGATGTTCAGAATACTTAAACTATAACATGAAGAAATGATAGTCTTAAACTTGATGCTAATCAGGTTTTGGCCAGAGGAAAGCTGTGTGTGTTTCCCACTTTCTTTTACAACTGATAATTTAGGAACACCTCTGTTTAGTTGTCAAAGTTGCCAAATATATACTGAATTATGTTAATAGAACAACCTAACCTATAAAAGGTTTTCTACTTCACTAACACTAACCTCCCTCCTTGGACTTTAAAGATCCTGGATGATCTGGCCTCTTTGTACCTTTTTCTTTACCCCAGCATTTACATTGTGCTCTACTTTTTCAGGTTCCTTTGTTTTCATATTTCAAAAAATCAATTTCAGGGGATTTATCTTCCCCACCCCTCTATGGTTTTCTGCACTATAGTCATTCCCCCTTCCCCTTTAAAAGCCTATTTGGGATTCTTATAAAAGCAACAACACTGTGATATTTAAAATTTTGCATATAGTCATAAGGGAAAAGATCTGCTAATTTATTTTTCCCCTTGGTTCTCATCCCCGACTTCTATCTCCAAGACAGGAGCCTCTGATAAATCTTTCAAGACTAACGAAAGCCCTATTTCTCCATGATATCCAGCTATTGCAAAGGATAGTCTGGACTATTTCATACATCACTTAACCAAGAGGGCCTCAGGATTTAAGATGCTGGGTTCTAACCCTGTTCTCCACTAGCTCTGTAAACCCTAGGAGCAAGCCTGTGGGATTTAATTTCTGCCCCCATAAATTAAGTGAACTGAGCTTTCATTTACTCTAAAAAGTTTCTGACTCATGTTGTGTTCTTATTGCTCTGATTAAATCGTAAGCTCCTTGTGGGAAAGAGGCCTATCTCACCAGCTTTCTCTTCTGTTGTGGTTGCTTATCTAATGTAATTCTGACTTCCAGAAAAATTAACCAGAAAATACTTTTTGATTACATATTTATTTGAAAATAAAACAACATACTGTCTGATTTGAAATTTCTTTGAGCAAATATAGAAAAAGAAAAATGTCAATGTAAGTGAAAAATCAGGTGAATTATGCATTTATAAATTGCTTCATTCCCTCTGTTGTCCTTGGTGTCTCTTTGGCAAGTGTCACTCATCCTCTCCCAACTTTAGGACAGGTTCCACTCGAGCTAGAGACTGGTGCAAGGTAGGCTCAGCAAGCCTGGACCTGGAGGCACATCCCTTTGCTTTATTTTCTTACACTTCACCCTTTTCCTCCAAAAGTTAAGGCTATGCTGTCTCAAAATTGTATTCATGAAGAAGATTGGTTTTCATTCCTACAGAATGTTTTTCTTTTTCTTCTGTGCAAATGTGTATAGAAGTTTGTCTGAGTCCATGTACAATGGTACTACATGACTATCATTTCACATTTTCGTCTGCATAAATCTTTTCCAAACCCAATTTAATTGCAAACATGCAATGCTTTCCTATATATTTTTTTTGAAACACTAAGAAAAGCAAACACTATAAATGGGAAAGTGTTACATATGGGGACCCCTACTTGCATGGAAATGAAATCACAGGCTGAAAGTTTCCTTAGGGGAATGCGTGCCACTTCTGGTAGCCCCCCAAAGAGACACATTTAAACAGATAATAGATGCCCTCTGATACCTGGTGAGGGTGCTGGTGAGGGTGCTGGTGAGGAGGGCATGTCTAGTCAGCTATTGTAATATTCTGGGGACTATCACAGTAATTTTCATTGTGCCTACTGCTACCCATATCATTAGGGAGTGTTTTTGTTTTTTTCTTCATACTGGGGTTTGAATTCAGGGCACTCAAACACTGAACCACATCCCCAGAAATTTTGTATTTTATTTAGAGACAGGGTCTTACTGAGTTGCTTAGCGCCTCACTTTTGCTGAGGCTGGCTTTGAACTTGCAACCCTCCTGCCTTAGCCTCCCAGGCTGCTGGGATTACAGGCTTGTGCCACCACACCTGGCCCAAGGTCTGTCTTTCTCTCCCATGAGAGTACAAGAGGAAGAGGAGCTCTGATATGTATCCCTTTGTGCCTCTCTCCCCTCAGCTTCCAGCAGGTATCTATATGCAATCTGCAATCCTGCTGCCAATGCCTTCTTGGGTCTCAGGAAGTCTTCTCTTCCGGGCCCCTGGCCTGGTCTCCATTTGCCATACTGGGTAACCTTTGTTGTTGTCTGGCACAGCCGCCTTCTGTCGGAATCCCACCTGCCTACTTGGTGGCCTTTCTGTACAGGACTCCAAAGGGCTGTGGGCTTTCTTTTCCATGTGGTCTACCTCTGTGGACCGTGCACTAGCATTGATCCACCTTGGAGCACCCCAAGTGTCCTTTGCTGCACTCCCTCTGATGCCCTTGGAGTCTCCTTGGCAAGTATCACTCATCCTCTCCCAACTTTAGGACAGGTTCTGCCGCAGTCCAGCTGCAGCAAACTAGCCGGGGTGGGGGTGGGTGGGGGGTGATGAGCAACTTGTGAACATTGATACAGCAGGAGTAGGAGCCATTTATTGTAGGACAACAGAGGTATTTATACATTCCACACAGCTTATCTTAATTAACATAAACTCGATATAGCAGTCTACCAATAAGGAATCTCCACACTTAATGGCTCGCTGGTTTACTTCACAAACCACTCCCTCTGGCATTTTGCCAGGCGCCATCCAGACTTGTTTACAGACTCTAACAAGGTTCCACTCGAGCTAGAGTCTGGTGCAAGGTAGGCTCAGCAAGCCTGGACCTGGAGGCACATTCCTTAGCCTTCCCTGTGCGAGGCAGAAAATGGGGATTCATGGCCACCAACAGCTCTCTGCAGTTTGTCTTCTCACAGATTCCTGTCTCTTCCCCTTTTGATGCCCTCAATGTGGGCATAAGAATTGTTAGAAAAGAAAAAAGTTGTGCAACTAGTACTTGACTCAACAAATACTTGTAATGCATAGCTGTAAATTCAAAATTTCCACCTGTGTTCTATTAAATAAGAATTTCTTGTAGCGAAACAGCTGAGACTTGTATGACCATTAAAAAAATGTGAAGATGCTTTGAGACTAATTTAGAATTATCATAAGAATCATTCAAGAGATTCCAAATAATTTAAAACATGAGGTGTTTACATAAAATATCTAAGTATAACATTATATTTCACATTTACATATATTTTTTTGTTTCAACTTCTCTGACATTTTCTCTGACATTTTCTACCCTTGGTAGTTATTGATTGAAGGATAAATTAGATAGAAAATGACAAAATTACTAGAGGAAAATGATGGTTTTGAAAAAAAACAAACTCAAAGTTTAACCAAATCTCTGCTGGCTTAATCTGGACCTACCTCCTCCTTTCCTTTCTTGTGAGCACAGGAAATATTTGGCTCTTCCTTTATATCCTTGGGGACCTCCCATCCATGGGTTGGGGTTGCAGGTCCATGGGAAAGGGCGATTGTCTTTCTGCAGCACCTTGTGGAGGTGTGCTGCTATCACTGCTCTGTGTGTGAGATGGTGCTCCATCACCTTCAGGGTCTGTACTCACCTTGCGAGGATTCCCACATCCTTGGAAGCATGATATTGAGTAGCAAGTAAAAAATGCCACGACAAACTGAATGTCATGAAAGAAAGGAAAACATTTTATATTTTTGTACTTCAATGACATTTACTTTCATATATTTTTAAACAAAAGGATCTATATTTTTATTTTACCCAGGTAAAGTAGAGTGGTCAGGGTAGAAACCCTGAGAACCTTAGTAGGCTACTGTATGAAGTCAGGCCCAAGATGGTGGTGCCTTGGACCAGGGTGGAAACAGCCAAGTTGGTAAGAACAGGGCTACTACTTCTAGAGATATTTTGAAGGTTCTTTTTCTCTCTATCCATTCTTCCTTCCTTTTCCTTCTTTCTCTCTCTCCTACATGATAATTCAGATGATTCCTAATTAAAAATGGAAGATTTCAAAAGAAAATCCTGGGGTAAGTTGGTTAGAGCAGGCACGACCAATTTAGGTATGAAATAACTCCCTGAAGTACTTTTGCACTAAATTATGGTAGAAGTACACTTGCTAGGGCCTTTTTAATTCAGCAAAGTCACTGACTTCATACTTGGTCATTGTTGGTAGTAGCATTTTTTTTCTAATGAATGCTGAGTCCATATAAAATACTGTAAATAGGTGGAACACATGCAAATGACTCTCCCAAGTACATTACAAAGCTCTCCTGAACCAAATGTTACGTGTCCAATTTTTAAAAAAATATTAGCTCTATTATAAAGTGGACCTAAAGCACTTCTGGATTTTAGAACAGCTTGTCACTTGACAGGAAAGGTACCAGATTGCTACCATCTGATGTCCACTGCTGTCATTTTAAGCCTCATGAAGTCTTTTAAACAGCCAGAATGAAATACGCTGGGTTTCTTTCTTTGTTTCTTTTTTTTTTTTTATTCCTAATAAGTCACGATCCATCCCAAACCTGTTTCGGCCATCAGCAGCTCTGGTGCTCCTCACCTGGATGCCTCCTGAGGGGTTCTTTTTCTTGGACAGCAAGTCAGTTATCACCCTGAAGAGATAAACCATTGTTGAAGACAAGGGAACGTGCTGAAGAGGTGGTAAAACGAAGCAGGGGTTAAGCAGAGTCTGCCCCCAAGTAAAGTCATTGTGTACCTGCATTTTGGCTGGATCAAGAATTACAACCGTGGTAATTAGCAGTGCATTTTTGTATTATGGCATGCCAGGCCTGTGACTTTCTTCTTTCTTTCTTTTCTTTTTCTTCCCCCCGCTCCCTGAGACTTGTCCTAAGGAGAAAGCCAGGGGAAAAATGAAGTGAGAATTAGATTAAAGCTGCCTTGCACTGCCGAATGCTGAGTCTACATGAGCTGCAGGATCAAGGGCCAGCACTGGAAAAGCTTTACTACAGTTGCTAAAAGTAAGCACAGCATCAGAATTTTGTCCTTCTTCAATGCTATCTGCTTTTAGTGAGGGTCACTGGTGTGTGTGTGTGTGTGTGGGGGGGGGGGGGTGATGCTTTTTGAAAAATCAAGGATAAAGAATAAATAACCGTAAGCCTTCCTGGCTCAAACAAATTATTTTCCGGTGAGTAGATAGAGTGCTAAGTGGGAGGCAGGGAGCTTGAACCTGAGCATCTTGATTGGTAATCAGTGCCTGCCTTTCTCTGTGTTCAGAAAGCTAGTAAGAAACATACGATCAAGTTCAAGTAACTCTCCTTGAGCACACAAACCGGCACAAAGAGAAGACATTCAAGCATCCAGAGCAAAAAAAGAACCATTTTGCTATCCAGGATTTTGTGTGTGTTCTTGGTGTGGTACTTTAACAGATGTCCAGGTGTTTGTGTTTTGGGTGGGGGAAGGAGTGGGGAGCACTTAAAAAATGGGTCTTGAATGACATCATTACTTTATATATGGAAGAAATATTTTGTTCAATTTAGTTATTAAGTAGTGAGTTTCTTTCCCTTCTTTGTGATGTCTTTTCTTCATCACACATTATTGAAAGTTGGCAAATTCTAGACAGTCACCCTCAAATAAGATTTTTTTTTTCCTTTTTTCTGGAACTTCTTTAAGGACACTTGTCAGGCAAATGTTGGAGCTACTTTATCGAAGCGCTGCATGTTCTGTGGGTGGCTTCATATACTCGAAGCATCTATTATCCTTGAACATATGAAATTTGAGGACAGAAGGGAACAGACTGAGAGCTGAATTTGCATTTGCTGAATGGCAACTGATGTAAACAAAATGTCCACTCTTTGGACTGTTGGCAGCCACAGTTAACCTCCAGAGGAAGTACTTATAACTATTTCTCTTTTTCTAGTGGGAGTGCTGAAAACTTACAACCTCTTTGGGAATTTCACTTTTCTCCATGAAGCTGCAAAGGGAGCCATTTGATGTACTTTTAATTATAAGCTGTTTTGAATGTTGAAAGTTCTTTTCCAGCACATATGATTAGAAGCTTATGAAAAATATGTTGAGATTTAAACAATCTCGCTGGAATTTTACTTACCTGAAAAAAATGCATAAAAATGGAGCTATAGTGTAGTAATAACAATGTCACTAACAGTGTGAGTGACATCACTCCCTGAGAGCTCACTAGGTACTGGGCACTGTTCTATGTAATAAGTTCATCGTACAAATACTATGTATATTTATAGATGTCTTAAAGTTTAAAAATTCTCTCCATGGTTTCATGAGGAAAGTAATATTATCATCTCTGTTCTGAAGTGCAGGAAGGTTAAGATATTTGTCAAAGGGCATAAAGCTATATATGCCAGCACAAACATGGATTCTAAGTATTTAAACAGTAGACAAAATATAGTGGTATCTTTCATTCCAAATGATTAATTTCCTTACTTTATAAAATTTAAAAATTCTAGAAAAACATAAAGGTAAATGTTGCATTTGTAAATAGTAATGACTCTTCAGTTTCTCTACAAGTCTATGGAGAATGTTATAATTAATCAAGTTTGGATTTTGAACCTATATTAACTTTCAAAGAGAACATTAACGAATGAGAACATTAATAACTCATAAATGGTGACATTATGGCATTTGAGCAGATAAGTAAAAATTAAGGCAGTGTCCATAAATAATGGCATACAAATATCATGAAATATTATGCAGTCATTAAACATGAATTTGGGAGAATTATCTAGTATATTAATGGTGAAGAAAATTTGTTGAATCATTTTTAAATTTGATCTCCTCTTGGAAATCAAATTTTACCAAATCCTCCCACATATGTATAGGTGTGTTGTTTGGTTGATTATTCTGTTCAAGTGATGTACACATGTACAAATGTGTTGGTATTTATGTTGGCATAGAAAAATGCATGGAAAGATGTACTGTTAAATTGGTTACTTTGGAATAGGAAGAGGGCATAAGGTTGTGGGTATGTATGTGAGCATGTGGACAGGCAAAATTAGAGAAGAAAAATAAAAAGGAAAACAACATGTGCTTATAGGTACATGCATTAATGATGATAATAATTATAGGAACACTAGCATAGGTATCAGAAAACATGGATCCTGATGCCAGTTTTGACAGTGGCTTATCATAGTACCATAGATATATTGCTCTTTCTATGGCCCTACATCTACATTTTTGTCTGTATCTGTGTCTTTCTATCATCTATCTATCCCTAACTCATGAGACTGGAAATTGGGCAAAATTCAAGAGAGATTATACAATTATATTTGTTATATTGAAGAACAGTGTGAACTTGCTGGATCTGGTCCTTTTTCCTAATATCATGGAATTTGGGAGCAGGAAGGGACCTTAAAAGATCACCTCAACCAATTCCTTCTTTGTACAGATAAAGAACAAGAAACTTGTGTTAAGCGATCTGGCCAGGTGAAACATATTCTTTTACTTAACTTCCATTGTGTAAGAACAAATATGGTTTGTTGACAAATAAATATTTAAATAACATAATAGTTTTGAGACCAAATATACATTAAAATATAGATTGAAATCTATGTTGATGGTATCAAAAAGACAAAACATGTTTTTATTAGCTAGTATTTCCAAGTCTTCCCCTTTACACTTTATAAAATGGATCTATTCAAACATAATTTCATGGTTTTGTTCATATGACTAAATAAAGGAGAAAGTGTTAGGATATTTTCAAGCACTACGCAGAAAAACATATGTGCAGATAGGAGGTCTTAACCTCCAGTAAATGAAAGTCAACCTGAGATAATTTTTCCAATATTTTCTCTGTTTTGGAAATATCGAAAAAATATTGGTAGGATGATTTTAACATATGGATTCGGTGGAAATCCTCTTAATACAAATTTGAAATATTATCTTTCTTTCTTTTGTTTGTTTCTTATTAATTCCCATTTCAATATCAGTGTTTCTTATGTTGCCTGTACTTCTGGTCTTCCACTGTGGATATACGTTAAAATATAGGAGACAAAGAATAAGTGTAATTTAAAACTGCATGATGTTCAAAACCAACACAGTGGTGGTGGCGATGTGTAGCTGAGCGGTCATCTAAGTGACTAGATCATGAGCACGCTCATCTGGTCTCCAGGGTCTGCACATACACAGCTCAAGGCACTTTCCAATAGGAAGGCAAGAAATATTTGAATGGCCATTTAATTTAGTAAGTTAAAAAATAGAAACAAAACAGAAGCCTTAACCACCCACCATGGTGTGAACCCTGTGAAAACATGTCTGTGGATGGGTGAATCGTGTCTGTGCAACTAAGCTCTGCTTCTCTAGGTGAGTGTGTGTGTGTTTAACACAGTTGAGATCATATTCTGCTTTATCTCAATTGTATCATTTTTCAATCAAATATTCTTTAATAGCATATTTTGTTCTATAAAATATTTCAGTGTTATCAGTGTGTCTGGTTTATACTCTTCTTAGGAATGGATTGGTCCCCAGGAGTAGAAACAGACTCCGAAAGAGGGGTTTTGGGTAAGGATAAAGAGAAATCTCATGGAGCAACACCCAGGATGTATAGCTGCATCCATCATCGCTTTTGCTCCTGTAATTTCTCTGATTGTAACTGGTTTCAGTTTCTGATTGAAGGTCTCCCTCACCCTCCTCTGGGTATAGATTAAGACCTTCAAAGGCCCCTAATACCTCTTCCTTCTCCACCGTCTTGCCTCTCGCGTGGTTCATGCTGCTGTGAACCCCAACCCAGCTCAGCCCTGTGCTGGCTCTACAGCTGCGCACCTTCCTAGTAACTTCCTGCGCATGCGTGCGTGCTTATGAGCTCCTGATCTCATACTCTGGCGAATGAGTCTGTTTAAAGTTAAGGAGCTATAAACTGGATGTTTTTTAGTCATTCCCATTCTAATATGCTCTGTGGACCCTCCATTTATCTTGGCATCTCAAGAATAAATAACAGCTGTAATCCCAGTGGCTTGGAAGGCTGAGGCAGGAGGATTTCGACTTCAAAGCCAGCCTCAGCAATGGTGAGGCACTAAGCAACTCAGTGAGACCCTGTCTCTAATAAAATAAAAAATCAGGCTGGGGATGTGGCTCAGTGGTCAAGGGCCCCTGAGTTCAATCCCTGGCCTCTCTGCCCCCTGCAAAAAAATAATAGATAACAGATATTTTTTGAGAATGAGTCATGGGCAGGGCAAGCAAAGCCCCTATTCCATACCCACAGACTTTGAACACTCTCCAGCATGTTGTATTTATCTGACCCTCTCTGTTTCAGTAGTTTCCTTTTGCCACATTAGACTGCTGTGTTCTCAAGAGAGAGGTGATGTTTTTGTCTACAGTAAAGGGGAAGGGATCTCTGCAGTTTTTAATCTATATCTACTTATTTATGTATCTATCACTTCAGTGAATTGAGTAAAAACCGGACATTTAAAATTCTGAGTTCATTTTTATATTCCTTTTATTGATACATCCAAGAAAAAAGCTTTAGAGCACTTCCTGCCTAATATAATTTCTCCACTGATTAGGATAATATATTTTATAAACTATACCATTTCTTATTATTGGTATCTATTCACTGCTCATTAAAATTAAATTGGGTCTTGAAAACTAAAATTAAGCTGCCCCCATAAGTATATCAAACAAGGAAGCAAAAAAAAAAAAAAAAAGAAAGAAAGAAAAAGAAGAAAAAGAAAAAGTATTTTGCAAACTTTAGTAATAAATATTTGATACCTAAAGAGCAGAGGCAATTGGAAGAAGGGAGTCTTCGGAAAGAATAATAAGAATAGATACACGGCTGGGGAGAGGAGAAAACTGTAGTAGAGAAAATAAAAGCAGCTGAGAAGAGTTGTGATAACAGTTTTGAGGGAGTAGAAGCTTTCAAGGGGGGAAGACCAAGGAATCAGTAGAAAGATCAAGGAGAGACAGGAATGGAAAAAACTCACTGTGAAAAGAGAGTGAAGAGGGCTCACATTTTAATGATTTATGCTGAAAATTGGTAGTACATTTCAAAAAATCA